TGACCAGGCAGGATTAACATCCCTGCAGTGAAAATCCAGGCCAACCTGGTAATTCCTGCTCCTGCATTCAGTCCCAAATGGTCACACATAATTGAAATACATGACAATAACAAACACATTTCTATATTATCAACTATGTACCACTGAAAAAACAGGACATATAGGACCCAATTTGTGAAATTAATTTTATTTTTGAAACATGATACCCAATTACAAATAAATAATTCATACAATATAACTCAATTAGGATATACAATGTTCAGGCAGTTCATAGTAACAACCAAGATCACATTGAAAATGAGTTTACATTAAATAACTCATTACAACAATATACAGCTGGTCATTCAATTAACATTTCAGCCTGGTCCAAGGTGTAGGCAAGTTGAAAATTGTTCCTCTTACCAGTAAAGAAACAGATGTACACGATTTTATACCGAGTCCAAAGTAGTTAATACACCACAGTAATCAAAATTAAAAATGCTGCAWTGCATCACCTAAATGTAGTTTTAGTACAGAATAAAAARTCTGTGAGTTTTAGCAGGACAAAGGTWATTGCAAAGGAGTTTCATGTCCTATAGCAATTTCTGCACAAACTTATGATTTTACAGGATTGTTCTTAACGTTTCGATTCCATCCCCTTCTCTGCATCCTGTCTGCAAAGCAGAGGGATGCAGGTACCTGTTATGTTCTTAGCTCCAGTCACACACTGCTTTTCACTTCCATTTCAGCAGAATCTCTCACTGCTCAGCCACAGCTCCCCACTGAGGTGTGCTCCTGCCCCTGAGACCTGCAGCAGCAGCAGTGAAATTGCACTRTCTTTTCTGACCTATAACTTTTGAATTTCCTACCTACCCCAGAAACACCATGCTCTGCAAAGACATCTAGACTGAATAATAGCCTAAAGTTCTGAAAATTTTGTTAAAGAATTGTGGAACTTAAAAAAGATATTCACAGCATCCCTGGAATTTCTTGGTCATTTTTATAATGAAATACATAGATTTTCATGACAGAGTAAATAATTACAATTTCCAATGATTGAGAGACCTGGTAAGTTTGTATTTACAAAAGTTTTGTTAAAAATCCCCCTGTTTTGGGGGCCCTTCAGGTGAGGTATATGCCCCTTGCTCTTGGTTTGAACCAGATTGTTTAAAGTTACAACTCTTTCCATGACAAAATTCCCCACGTGACAGAGACCACTCCTCCCAAACGTGCACTTCCCAGTTCCTGTACAGCTTTGGGACACGAGCAGTGCATTCCACTCCAGCAGGTGCTTTTGTTCTTGTTACACTGGGCATGGGAAGACAAAAAAAAAAAAAAATAAAAAAGAAAAACCAAGAGGGAAATTCCCAGCTGGCAAGCAGTGCATCTCTGCAGGTTGGAGCAAATCCCTCTAAAGCTGTCCTTGKGCACTGCCCAGAACCCACAGGACAGGTGGCCTCGATGGGACATGGAAGTACCCAGAACCCAGCACTGGTGGAGTCTTTTGTTAAAAATCAAAAGAAAAAAAATGCCATACTCATGATAAAGGTTTTTAAAGTCTTTCTATCTCCAGCCCTGAGACTAAACWCAATGAACTGCTTTGTTTGCACGTTCTGTAGAAGAAATAAATGTCCACAATGATGCTGATGCCTAATGAAGGAGAAACTATATATAWCACATCCATTTTAAACATAAACAAACCTGAACTGTAAAATCAAATGCACAGTTAGACTGCAACCCCATCTTGTGACTGCATTAGACAAAAAAAAAAAAAGAAAACTACTATTTCCAAACAATTTTAAAAGTTTCATTTGTGCAATTTCTCCAAAGGGGATTTAAATCCCTAGCAGAATAAAATACTAACTCCAGATTTGCTTAACCAAAAGCAGATTTATTTTCTTAAATCTGCTGCACAATGCACCAAGTGACACACATAGTACTTCAGTAATTTATTAATTTTCACTAAAAATCACAAAAATATTTGAACAATGTACAATCTGTGCTGAGTTGTATTTAAGAACCTGATGATGGAGCACAGGTACAAATTTAAATGTTAGTAATRTCTAATACATGGTATGAGACTTCCCTACAGCCTTGACAATTTTTCCACATTTGGATTCTTCAGTCATTTTTCAACATTTGCCTTATCACCATTTGCCAGAAGGTTTCATTTATGATCCAGATATTTAAAGGCAGTAATCTCAAAAATACGGTTCAGATTTCTTTTTGTTGCTTCTATTTCCAYTTGATTATTTACACCAAAATTTACCAAATGTTAACAGTTTTTCACAGACAGYAGAGCAGGGGAAATCCATGATTAGCACAAACCACCTCATTGTTTCATTAAAACTGAARTACAGGGAACCTGCTTGATTACCTTCAACTCCTATGAATCTGCTTTCTATAATCAATGGAAATSATTAATTTAAAAAAATCTCAGAGGTTTATAAATGAAATTTGCCTATCAAATACCTCCCAAAACCTCATGTCACAAAGACAAACAGCACGGACTCCCTCTCTCAAACTAAGCCTCTGTCCTTCAGCATTGCTCTGTGCTACCMCAGCAGGGGACTAAGTGAGCACCAGGACCTTGAGTTTTAGTACTACAGGTAAATGATACACGAGAGTAATCTCCAAAATTAAAGCCATTTTAATATTTGCTCCATCACAAAGTTGACTGATGTATGCCTTTTCACATTCTCATGTAACCCTGAATATTCTTTCCAGAARTATTTTGAAAATAAAATTCACATCTGAAACAAATCTGAACACTCACTGAAGAAGAAAAGAACCCCCATATTCTTTCAAACAATATCCATGAATCTCTAGTGAAACAGAAACTGAGACACCTTCCCCAAGTAAGAATTGGGTGTAACAAACCAAGCCACATAAATAACTCTGGCTGACAAACACTTCAAATATCTGTTTTTAAAGCAAAAAGTGCTACACAGAAGAACAGAGAGTCAAAGGGAGATTTTTAATGGCACAAAGGGCAGCTAGGCACTGTGTGAGCTGAGAACATAACTGTCATTATGACTTTAAAAATCCCCCCMAGGAAGATTTGGGTTGCAGCTAGGGCAGAGCAGGGGTCTCACCAAACCTTCACGAACAATGAAAGAGCAAACCCAGTGTAATGTCCAAACCTAATGAGAAAAGAGAAAGGTTGCTACTGTCCCTCTGCTAAAAGGACACTGCCAAGCCTGTAAAGTGTTAGGTGAAATTAATGATCAGAGTTCATATTAGCACTACACAATTCGACTCTGGATGAAATGGTCACGAGCTATTTAAAAAAGGAGTTTCTGTATCTGAGAGATTATTCTTAGGTTTAACTTCTGCTGTGTTAATAGCATCTTCTGCATTAAAGGAGCTTTAACTAACACCTGCAAGAGTACCTGCCTTGAGGCAGAGCTGTGCCATGACCATCCTTCCATTTTCAGATAAAAATAAAAGTTACCATTAGGCACATRTTGAAGGTGTATCACACAAGCTGGAATGTCAAACATTTTCTCCCTCAGATTTACACAGAAAAATAGCACAGCAGCAAATAACCTGGTCCTCTGTTCAACAAKTATCTTGTTACAAGCATTTTCAATGTACATAATGTCACAAAATCAATACCTTCTTATCTTTAAATAATTAGGTAAAAAAGGCCCCCAGTATAACCATTTCTTATATAGCCAAGTTCTCTCTATATACATCCAAATTTTAAAGATACAAATAAAACATTGTACAGGATTTATAAATGTTTAAAAACTTGAGGCTTCAGAATCATGGTTTCCCAAAAAGACCCGGGAAAATCCACAGACTGACAAGGTAGCAGAGAAAACTGGAAAAAAGGAGACAGACACAAGTTTGCTGCCATAACATTTTACTAAACTCGCCAGTCATCATGGTGATGTCATTAGAAAGAACAGTTTAAGCTGGAAATGAGGAATGGTGGTTTTGTGTGTTGATCTCAAGTGTTGAGTTGAGACAGGCAATTCAAGTATTTCCTATTTGATCCAAGCTCATCGTAGCAAAGTGGTGAAGGAGGATTATTTTACATTTTTTCCATACATTCGATCAATGTCCGTTTGATAAAACGCCGTGAGCTCTTTGCGTTTTAGTTTGAACGCGTCTGTCACCAGACCAGTCTCTGGGGTCCAAGGATCAGGGCTCAAACGGATTTTTACTGGGATTTCAAATTTCTCCAGATTAGCTGTAAAAAGAAATATTTTCAATACAAAGCCTAAATGTAAACTAAAATTAAGAACAAAAAGAGAAACCATACTCTGAACACAGAAAAGCATGAAGAACAAACAAAATATCACCGTGCCACTGCTTCATTCTGCACCAGAACAGCCTGACAGATTGGGGGAAAAAGGTACTGAGGGGAAGTATCATCCACACTGACAGAATCACAACCACCCCACTGTTCACTGCCTCTCCCTGACCAGAGCTCAGCAGAGTCAGCCTGAACTGGCAGATGGAAGGCTTGGGACAAAGAATTTCTTCACACAAACAGGCTGAGCTGCACAACTCGCCATGAGATATTATACACACTGATTTGGAATATCTGAGGAATTTTCAAGTGTGGCTAGAAGAGTTAATGTAAGGAAAGTCTTCTGAAAATTACTAACTACAAGGTGCTGCTTTGGTTTTCAAAATCCTTCAGATGCAGAGAAATGCCCCTGTCACCGTGGGTTTGTTTCAACTGCACTGGAATGGAGCATGAGGGACTGTCAGATACCTAACACATATGATTATGGATCCATAGATGGCCCACATTGTTTWTTGACCAGCAGGAGGACAACAAGATACTATAGAACATTTTAAAGAACACCAGACACATACAGAGAACTGTACTTGTAAAGTTGGTCCTGTTTTTATATTCTTCCCCCAGTTATTTGCCACAGTAAGAGAAGCTCCATGAAACAGAAGGACTGACCCAACTCATGTTTTATTGTTGGGGTTTTCATGTATGAAAATTTCACTTCCTATAGGTTCTGTGAAATATACACAGTCAAGGAAATATTTTTAAGGCCTATGATTATCTGTGTCACAGACACTGGAGCCCACAAGGTTGATACCATCTATCCAGCCACTCACCTGCCATGGCAGCCTCAGCTAGCACCTTCAGTACCTCTTTTTCCATCTCAGGACTGTTACAGATCTCTTCCCACGTTCCTTTAAATCCTTTTTTCCGGGCTAGTTCTGCGAGCTCCTTTTGATTTGGCACAACAAATCCAATGACATAAGAATGGAAACTGAGAAGCACAATGCACTTTAGTATGAATTTTGCAAAGTAAACAACTCTTCAAAAACAACATTTCAAGTTAGGAGGTTTACACCTCATACAGAGATATTGCTCRTAACAACTGGCTTTTGTTCACCTGATCATCTTCCTGAAATAGTACACGTTACCTTTTCCTGCTTAAAAATAAGTAGAAAGAGAAGCAACTTACCTTACAGTAACTGAATTGCTTCAAGGTGTGCTGTCCATATGCATATTCCACTGTGTCTCATGCCCAAAGCTTTGGGAAGCAGCACCCATACGATGTCACTGCGCCCTGCCTCTGCTCATGTTTTGCAGCCCGGAATGGAGATTGGTGTGCGGCTTCCCTACCTCAGTTTCCTCTCAACTGCAGAATCCAGTTACTGTAGAGGAGTAGAGGACTGCAGTGAAGAGGGGTTGGAGAGCAGGTTGTGGAATGAGCATATGCACAACACATCTCAAAGGATGCCTGCTTCTGTAAGGGAAGTGACTTCTCTTTCTCTTTCAAGTGATTGTCCATACGCCCACTCTGCTGTTGGCAAACTTTGTCTGCTCCTGACATGCCCAGAACACAGGAAGCTGTGATCTCAAAGTCTTTGAGCCCTAAAGCACAATTCCCTCTGAAACAAGTGTTCAAGGTTTTTCAGACAGTGTGAGTTGAGGCAAAATGCGCACAGAACCTCATGCAGCAGCTTGACATATTCTAACAAAGCAGATCAGAGCCAGAGTTGAAAGTGATCTCAGAAGAGCTCCTGATCAATTCACCTGCCTTGAAGCAGGGTCAGACACATCTAACAGATGTTTGTCTAAAGCTTTCTTAAACATCAGCAAGCACCAATGCCAATGCTTCAGCATGGATCTGCAGCATGGATAAGCTGCCCCTGATGGCAATTCCTGACTCTTCCTTTTTGCAGGTTACATCAGAATAGTCAGAGCTCTCTCTTTCCCACAGAAGCTATTGATTCATTCACRGACTGTCACCATTTTTTCCCTAGTCGCCTTTCTAGTCTTGCTTCCTTTCTAAGGTTTATTTTGAAATTAAAACAGTGCCCTTTCCTCTTAAATCATGCCTTCACAGGCCTCCGCCCAGACATTGCCATTTTCCTCCTGGACTCTTTCCATGAGGTTCACTTTTTCAGAAGTGCTCCATGTGGAACTCAGACCCTYTAATGCTTGATAGAGCAAAGAGATCACTGTGCATTTTACAGGCAATACATCTGATTATGCCCTTTACCTTCTTAGAACACCATGGCACTTGTTGACTCATGTCAGCCCCTGCAGAACTGTGGTTCTCACCCTTAACTTTTGCAGTTTATTTACTATAAGTATAACTTACAAGTCCTCTCTTTAAACTTACTGCTGTTTTCAAGCAAATCTCCATCTAATTAAGCTCGATCTTAATTCTTATCCAATCCTCCACTGTGGCTTTGGTTCCTTCCCACCTTAGTCACTACAAATTTATTAAATCTTTTCAACTCTCACCAGACAGGTCATTAATACAAAACACAGAAACTTAGCCTTGGCATGCAGATTACTGTAGCTATATCCTTTAAAGGCTTCAAGATAATTTTAAGATACAATCTCTAAATATGCTTTTGGTTATTGTACATTGTAGTATTCTCCTCTGTTACTAGTGTGAATYACAATGGACATCTGGCAGGAGTTGAGAAGATAAACGCAGACTTCCCTGGCAGCATCATCACAAACTTTGCCTGCTGGCTGACTTGACACCATTCTCATTTTTCTTTTCCTGAGAATGTATTACAGTTTGATTTCAGATTAGCCTCAGTATCACTGYTGCTTCCATCTCACCTTCTGCCTTTGCTTCTGTCCTGTTTTCCCCCATGCACACTCATGCACTCTCTATTGAACCCTTGTAATTTCCTCTAGGGTCTGCTCCCTACAATATATGCATTGCTTGTGAAGGCATCCAGAATGTGGACTGTGGCACTTCCATTCCTGGTTCCTGTAGTCTTTTGTCATGCTCAAGATCACATCCAGTATCACCAGCATCTCCAGGATAAACAGCATATAAAGTAATCAGCTGGCTGGGAAGCATTAAACTTTCTGTTCATCTAAAATTCAGCCCTTTGAGGAGAAGAGTACTTGTTCTGGACAAACAGGCTCATCCAACTGCTTTTTTCTTGGAAAGAACACCTTGGAGCTCACAGTTCCTGGAACGTCAGCTTTTCATTCTGTGCATTCACAAAGTTAAATCTTCACTTGTTGCAGTTTAAATGCTAAAGCACTGCTTTGTCTCGAGAGGCATCCTGAAGGTGCATCTTTCCTCTAGAGCAGTTCCTTCCCCCGTGCTGCTCCTTATGCAGATCTTTTGTATTTGGTAGCTTTGTCAGGCTTTGAAGTGAATACAACAGCATGAAGTGGAAATTTTCACACTTTGGTCCTCAGGACCTCCTTAGTCATCTCTTCCACGCTGAAAGATTTTGCCAAAATGTCTGTCTTACACTAGGCAGCCTCATTCCCTGGCTGTGCCTATGATTCTATTCATGTAAGRCTCTCAGACTGATGGTCAGAAATATATTTAGTGGCACTACATACAGATATCACTGTTTCCATTCTGTCAAGTCTGGTCCTTATCTCCTTGAGATTACTGCCGAAAACTCCCTCAGGTTTTTCCATGTTTGCTCATTCCTCAGGTAACTGAGCCACTCATTTTCCTGAGGTGATGCTTGAAACCCACTTAATGTGCCCTGGGTGGATGAAGTGTTGATAAAGCAGTAAAAGTCTCCCCTGACAGAGCTCTAATCATGATTCCTTTCAGTGAATGTTTCATTCCTTATCTCACTTATTTTGTCTGAAGTCAATACAGCTTTTCAAGTAGCAATGTCATGYAAACAATTCTGATTCCCTACTACCATGTTCAGAGGAGCTTTGCACCCTAAAATCTAAGGTCATATAACATATTAAACCCATTTGTAAAAGTCTGCCCTCCTTGTCCTTTCGCACATGGGAGACAGAACAGCTACAAATGAAGGACTCCTCCTGCATACGAGATCACCCAGGCAAAGGAGAGACAGGATCTAAGAAAGGTCACAGGCACAGTTAAAAAACCTCTCTGAGCTCAGACTGCTGAGGTGAGCACATACCCACAATGAAATGTGCATATGGACAATCATTCAGGGACTTTATTCCATGGCTACTTAGGCCACATGAYACACATTAACAGCATTGAGAAAAAATGGAGCAGCAACAGAAAAACCCATCTGGAATGCCTTGTTTGTCCTTGATCTGGGCTCYTGTTTGTAAATTGCCTTTAAAAATTGCTCATAGGGTTTTCTATGTTTAAGTAATAGATGTGACATGGCCTATCAGAGTCAAGTGTCTGTTTGGCAAGTGCATTTTAGYTTCCAATATTATGTTGATCTGGCAAAATTAACACAAAAATTTGGCAGCACAAGTCCAATAGTGAACTGCAATCCTGGAAAAGATGAAACCACATGTAGAAAGCGCTTTCTCCACAGATTACAGAGGGAACTTGGAACAGTCACAACTTCAGGCTGTCAAAGTCAGCAAACATGAGACTCACTCCATGAGTCCAAACCATAAATAAAGCTTAACAGAATGGAAATTTTCCAAGCAGTGGCATGCCCAATGCATGCCAGCCTATTGATCTAAAACTGTTGGAAGTGAAATTACAGAAAGACTATCATTAATTAAGACAAACTCCCTAAAATGACAGAGAACCAGGTGAACAAACCAAAAGTTAATTTTTTAATTTATTACCACTGAGMAATTCTCTGGTATGCTTGTCCTGGCTTCTATCAAAGTGAAGTGGGGCTTTTTTGGCCATACTGGAAATCAGAATATTTCTGGTCATTCAAAAGCTCCAAAATAACTTTACAAACATCAATGTCAAATATCAACAGGAAACCAAAGAACACCTGAAGTATATTTGTGTCAGATGTAAGATATTTTAGAAATAGAAACTTAAGAMATGTTTAAGCCCTTATCACCTGATTTTTTAGTACACGTAGAAAGCAAATAGAAACTACATTTAAATGCCATTTATTGGGTGTTTGCACAGTATTTGGAGGGTGTTTTCTCTCAAGCTTCAAGGTGGCACACTKCAGGGGTTAAAGGAAAGGAACTAATTCACAAGCCAGCTACTGGGCTGCTGGTGGTTTTATCCATCACCTTCCTCTGAAGCACCAGAGTACTTCCTCTGAAGGACAGATCCCAACTAAACACAGCAAGGAACAAGATGTCCCAGGGCTTGTAAAGGTAACAATCTCCAGTGCTTGAGTGATGTCTGTAATTAATGCAATAGAGCTCAGCTGCTTCTCAGACTGGGGAAGGGGGAATGAAAGACTCATTACTGGTATTTTCCAACAAATGATGACAACAAATGAGAAAGAAAAAATAAAACCACAGATTTCAGATCTTTTAGTTTTGACAGAGTTATTCCATTGTATTTTAAGTAAAATCCATTTTTCAACTGATTAAAAATATTCTACACATTGAGGGGCACAAAATTTTCCTTGTGGCTTCAAGAAGACAAAGAACAGAGCAATAACAAAGAGTATCAGCTGCTCTTACCTGCTTGCATACGCACAAATATTATCTACCAGTGGGAGATTCTTCAGAGCTGCTTCTACTTTGCCAAGAGAGACATATTCTCCTGCCTGCAGTTTTACAAGATCCTTTTTGCGATCTGTCAAGGAAGAAAGGAATTAAAAGTGTTAATTATAGAACAGAAAACTTTTAGATATTGATTTTAGATTTTTCTGAAATGCACATTWATAGCAAAACTGACTCGAGTTTGGTGAATGTACCAGAAAMCTTTAATGTCAGCTTTCCAGACTYTGCATTTTATCAGTCTGTCTCCCAMRAAAATGAGGGATGTTACAATTCCATGCATTTTTTGCCTTCAGAACAGCATTTCCTATATGACAGCACCATCATGTGCACAAAAGACAAGTAGGATCATGTAAAAGTCCCTGTTAKCCAACAGCACACATTTTGTGCTGTCTGGTCCAGACCCACAAGGCAGGATATGCACCATTTGCTGTAATTTTGTTATTTATTTCAGACTAAATCCATATTTTAGGAGCAGCTATCCACCTTTCACTTGAAAAAGAACAATAGGAACCAAAAATTAAGCCCAAATTACTTGAGGTTATTGTACATAACCTTATAAAATTATACAATAAAAGGCAGCTTATCTACTCAATTAGCTAATGCTTAACTCTCTAATTACTACCCAGCCTCAATAACTTCAGGAGCCAATGTTAAGATTGCTTCAAAATKATTTAAAAATCAACTCCTAAAACACACAAACAAGTTTACATTAACACATCAGAACATCCCTGGGATASATGGGAAGGCTTTAGACTGCATGACAAGATATGGATGTTTTTTTTTTTTTAATTACTGTATTTCAAACCCCTGGAAAATGTGTGTATTTATATGAATATCTACACATATACATGTTTACCTGAATTTATTAACTCACCAATAATTTTTAGACACCCATCATGATGAAACTCTCCAATGTCTCCAGTATGGAGCCACCTCTGCCCGTTCTCATCAACAGTGAAATCTTTTCTGGTTCGTGCTTCATTTTTGTAGTAGCCCACAGTCACATTCTGCCCTCCAATAAGGATCTCACCTCTAGGATATGGTTTATCAGTGTTATAATATCCACCTAAAAGAATGGGGGTTTTTATTAAGTTGACAAGAATAAAAACATATTCCAAAGCAAAAATCTGTGCCATGCTTCTGGCAGTAGTAAGTAATGTGCTTTATCAGTTTCACACTGGCTTAAATAATAAAAAATACCTTTGCCTCATATTTTAGGAAAGAAAAAAATCCATAAGGTTTTACATTAGCCCAAAACACTCTAAAGTATTACRTATTTCTACTCCCCAATACATAAAAGCCTACAGTGAAAGCCAAATGCATTCCCAAATTTATTATATGTATTTTACAAAGTATCCATCCAGATTCCCTTCTACATGATGGTTTTTAATGACTTTAAGAATAACATTATGAAGATTAATTTAGAATAGTTTCTTAATGGAAACTGAAGGAATCATGCATACTACCTAGTCAAAATGCCACTTGTATTGACAACTTTGGTCTGGATATTTTCCTGTTGAGAAAACACTGAGGAATTTATTTTACCTTTCTTCTCCCCAAGAACAAACTTTTATAGGCAAAAGTAGCATTTAAAATCTAAATAGCCAAGAAATCATCTAATTACTGCTACTGGGCAAGCCTAAAAGAAAAATACAATTCTTATACAGTACAATTKAATCATATGCAGAAATTCTCACCTTCTTCCCAGTTCAGTAACTTAATTTCACAACAGACCAAGGGTGCTCCCACTCTTCCTGTAGTGTAGTCCCAAACTAGGATTTAAAAAAGAGCATTTTCAGAAAAACAAAAACCAAAACTGATTAGAAAAAAAAGCTTTGCTGTCCTGCACCTTCAGTGAAAATTAACTGCTACTTATTCTTGAACTTTAATTCATAGAACCAAAATCCAATAAACCAAATGGATTTTTCAAGGTTAATGAAGATAAAATTCTTATCTTGTTAAGAAAGTAAGTGGCTGAATTTACAGATACYAGAAGGCAACTGAAACCATTAGGATCTACTATATAAATTAAAATCTGGCGCAGGCAGACTGATCTTCCTAACATCTCAATATACACAAAAAAAAAGAAAAACTTAATTTTGTTCAAGTGAGAAGTTTAACGATGCCAAGATCCCATTCACACTGGAATGGGCTGCTCAATCACAAATGAGAACATGCATTTTATATGYAGGTCACCAGCTTCAGCACAATGCATTAAATGAGCACTCCCCCTGCCTTATACATTTATGGCAACATGTAATTCCAGGCTTTTGGTGGCACCACCAAAGGCACAGCTGGTGAGAGCCAAGCCCCYAGCATGGATCTCAGGGCCAGGGGGATGTGGTAGCACTGATACATATGGTCTATATCAATGTGACAAGGTGCTTATGAGGCCTATTAATTTAAAACTTTCTATAACCTTTTTATACGTTATCAATATAAGAATGTAATAACTTTTTACATATTATTAAAATACAATGTAATCACTTTCAATATATTATCAATGATAGCCTTTTTATATATTGCTGTAAGTTTTTTTAATAGTATATTAGCAACATTTAGTGTACCAGCTGTACATAATCTAACCAGCTGGATTAGTACATAAATACTTGAATCACCAAGGGGCATAAATCAGAAAAAGTTCTGAAGAAAGTAGACAGGTAGATGCTATAACAAGGAACAGTAGAGAGCACTAATGAGAACTTGGSAGAGGCATGGGACAGTCRGCAAAATAATTAGAAATTACGASTTAGAAGACTAGAAAAAAA